TTAAGTTAGTCTCAATTACGTCACATCGGCTCCCCAATGGTTAGAATGCGATTGGCAGCGAGTTGGGACACATTGTTTCGAAGGTCCGGTGGCGGAAGGGTAAATGCTGGAACTTGGAAATCACGGGGGCTGAAAAGTAGGGCGTCAAAGTACTAAAAAAGGGTCGTACTTATCAGGTTGCATTTTTCAACCTACTGTACCCCCTAAAAGAGTACTTTGCTGTATGGATGAAACTTCTCATTTTGAGGGCAAAACACCCAAAAGTTTCCAGAAAACATAAAGTACATGAATAACGGCTATTTAACATAAAACCAAATAAATCGTTCTGTATCTAATGATCCTGCTCTAGAAAATTCTCTAAAAAAATTCTAATCGCAGCAGAAGTAGATCTTGATAATCCCTTGCTTGCGCTTTTCCTGTCATTTTGCAAAGAAACCTTTAGGGTTAGGAAAAAGTTGAAGAAAAAGTAACACATCAAGATAATCCTGTTATGACGTCTCTTTAATCTTTAGTATATTAGAAGCCACTTATCTTTTCCCAAAAAGAGTACTTTGTTCAGGGAATTTTTCGGACTTTTCCCGATATTGTTTTTCTTTTGTTGACAAAGTCAGTGTGTCGCTCATAGTTCATTTCTATTCAGAGGTTCTAGTGTTTCATTGTTGGCTTTGTTGACGTAATAATTTCATGCAAAAAAATTCGACTGCGTCTCCTAAAATATGTTTGAATGAACAACTGGATTTCATGAGCAGGGAACAATGTGTAAAGTTGCCATAAAGTTTCTTCTAGTAACTGTTTTCTGAAGAATTTCGTTGCTTGAAAAATGCATATTTACACTGCTCTCGATCAAAAATATTTAGCTCTTTTAATGTGCCCTGTAAAAGGGATTTGCTGATTTTTTTTGTAATTTGGTATTGAGATATTTTTGCTGCCTAAATCTTATTGTAAAAAAATCTTTCTCTTCATTTTCTTCCACCTCCCTTCTTTTTCTTCAAGCATTTGCTCCTAAATCTCACGTCATTTGTATTCTACGGGCAAGTTCGAGCTAACTGTTTTATTAGTTTCAAACGACGTCAAGGGAATTTCCTCTGCAGTGCTTGAATCTTCACAAAACGTTCTATAGCACAGTACAGATCGAGTTCACGCAATGTTATTATGCATTCTTGCACCTTAACGAAATATTTATCGACTGCACTACGAGCTACCGAGCCGCACATGTCGCTAAAAAACACTTTACCCCTTACCACAGTCCATTACCAGGGCTCAGCACAGGTGGCTTATAAGCAAAATGGGTATCGTTTCTGGGACCGAAAGCAAGGAGATATTGTTTTTGTTGGCCGAAAAGACACAAAGATTGCGAAGTTTTTTTAAGTCGCCGTTTCGTTTTTTGAGGGTTTTACACGTTTAAGGTTTTGGGTCAAAAGGGACTTCTAAAATTTGCGAAAGTCAAGGGGGACTTGTTTTTTGCATTTTCGGCAAGCCACCTCGTGCCGAGCCCTGCCCATTACTCTTCTCTGAAAGTGCGCATCATCTTGAAGTAGTCCGCAGCTTGAAGGAGAGTCGGTACAGCAAAACGTAAAAAAGCCTTCAAAATAATCTTCACATTTTTGCGTGAACTGAGCGTATACCCAAATACGAAGTTGATTATAGTACATTCTGCATGCTCGTAAATCGCAAAATATGGCAATTTGCATGAAACAAGAAGGTGTTAGTCACGCTCATGAGGACTACGCGAAAGTATCGAGAGAAAAAGATGCATAGCGAGGGACTTAGAAAGCTTTTGGGCTTGAAAAATTTACTTTTCGCGTTTTGGTAAAAAAGGCGTTTAGGTGGAACGCGGTAGGAAAGGCGGTACAAACATACATGTGAAAAGGCGATAATGTGTTCCTACCCCCTTCACCCCAGGGCCGGGACCCAGCTGACCCCCTTTCACCCACGGCCGATGAGGAACTGTAAAAAGTGAGACTAAGAAATCAACAATATAAGCAAAATTATAAAACTATCGGCATTATTAAAATGAAATTTAGTGACATGTTGATTCTGAATATTATTGTTATGATTGTCAAAACTTACTTGCAGGCTCATGAGAAGTACATCGGAAATTTGCCGCCTATTGTTCACTTCTAGAGAACGATGAAAAAGCCTGGAGAAAAATTTACCTGTGAAGCCTTTGTGTACATAAGTCAATGAAGTTATTACTCACGTATTTGCTGAAATATTGAGTGAGATAATAAATGAACTTTGATGATGGGTGCGCAGTGGAATTGCATTCTTTTTAAGAGGTATAAATTTTCTAAGCAGATGGCGGAATCCGTGGAAAGTCATTGAATGATTCCTTGAAGAGTCATTGTTCCAGCTTTTAATATTATTTCTAAACTCCAAAAGAGATCGTAACATTTGCGTAGAGAAGCAGGTGCAACCAAGGGCATCTATTACATCGATGAGTTGGTGTAATCAGGGTTAGTCTTACTGTCAAAATGCTATAGCTACGAGGATAGTGGAGTTCTACAATCCGCCTACTTGGACGATGATAAGGACGAGGGAGGACAGCCAGAGATGCATTTTTCTACGTTGAAGCACTATACAAGAGGAGAAGGACAATCGTATATGATCACTGCTTGATTATTCTAAGAAAAATTTCCATCGAAGAAGATTGAGAAAAAAAGATCTTAGAAGGAGAACTCAGTCATAATTAGCTTACTCCAGTTTAGAAGTCTACTTTCCATCCGCAGAAAACATACAGCTTGCCAGGAAAAAGAGGGGTTTTTCCTGCTAAATAGAAATAGTTTTAGTCATTTTTTCAAAATTGTAGAATTTATAAAAAATTGTAGATTTTTGATATGAGAAGATAAGAGAGTCTCTAGCCATATATTGAATTACTTTTGTTGAAAGCTTCCAGGAAATATACAGCTTACCAAGAAAGAAAAGATTTTCCTGTGTTATGAAGGTGGTCGCAATTGTTTTTCTAAAATTAAGGAATTTTTTTTATAAAAATTCATAACTTTACTATACGAAAAGCTAGAAGAGCGCTTTGCACTCTATTGGAATCCCCTCGTTGTCCGCTTTCAGAAAATATATAGTTTGTCAGGAAAAAAGAGGATTTTCTTATCCGGTGAAAGGGGTCGCAGTCTATTTTCCGGAATTAAGCCAATTTTTAACTTGAAAAAATCATAACAATTTTATATGAGAAGCTAGGAGAGTGATTAGGTGTTTATTGAATTCCTCTCGTCGTCCGCTTTCAGAAAATATATAGGTTCTAGGGAGAGGGATGCTAAAAGTACGTGGTGAAAGGGGAGGGAACATGGTATAATGGAAATCTTCCTTTCTGTACTCAAAAAGCGTCGTTTTAAGGAGCTAAAGGAACATGCCCATTATACCATGTTCCCTCCCCTTTCACCACGTACTTTTAGCATCCCTCTCCCTAGAACCTATATATTTTCTGAAAGCGGACGACGAGAGGAATTCAATAAACACCTAATCACTCTCCTAGCTTCTCATATAAAATTGTTATGATTTTTTTAATTTAAAAATTAGCTTAATTCCGGAAAATAGACTGCGACCCCTTTCACCGGATAAGAAAATCCTCTTTTTTCCTGACAAACTATATATTTTCTGAAAGCGGACAACGAGGGGATTCCAATAGAGTGCAAAGCGCTCTTCTAGCTTTTCGTATAATAAAGTTATGAATTTTTATAAAAAAAATTCCTTAATTTTAGAAAAACAATTGCGACCACCTTCACAACACAGGAAAATCTTTTCTTTCTTGGTAAGCTGTATATTTTCTGGAAGCTTTCAACAAGAGTAATTCAATATATGGCTAGAGACTCTCTTATCTTCTCATATCAAAAATCTACAATTTTTTATAAATTCTACAATTTTGAAAAAATGACTAAAACTATTTCTATTTAGCAGGAAAAACCCCTCTTTTTCCTGGCAAGCTGTATGTTTTCTGAAAGCGGATGGAAAGTAGACTTCTAAACTGGAGTAAGCTAATTATGACTGAGTTCTCCTTCTAAGATCTTTTATATTTCTCAATCTTCTTCGATGGAAATTTTTCTTAGAATAATCAAGCAGTGATCATATACGATTGTCCTTCTCCTCTTGTATAGTGCTTCAACGTAGAAAAATGCATCTCTGGCTGTCCTCCCTCGTCCTTATCATCGTCCAAGTAGGCGGATTGTAGAACTCCACTATCCTCGTAGCTATAGCATTTTGACAGTAAGACTAACCCTGATTACACCAACTCATCGATGTAATAGATGCCCTTGGTTGCACCTGCTTCTCTACGCAAATGTTACGATCTCTTTTGGAGTTTAGAAATAATATTAAAAGCTGGAACAATGACTCTTCAAGGAATCATTCAATGACTTTCCACGGATTCCGCCATCTGCTTAGAAAATTTATACCTCTTAAAAAGAATGCAATTCCACTGCGCACCCATCATCAAAGTTCATTTATTATCTCACTCAATATTTCAGCAAATACGTGAGTAATAACTTCATTGACTTATGCACACAAAGGCTTCACAGGTAAATTTTCTCCAGGCTTTTTCATCGTTCTCTAGAAGTGAACAATAGGCGGCAAATTTCCGATGTACTTCTCATGAGCCTGCAAGTAAGTTTTGACAATCATAATAATAATATTCAGCAACATGTCACTAAATTTGATTTTAATAATGCCGATAGTTTTATAATTTTGCTTAAAATGTTGATTTCTTAGTCTCACTTATTCCAGTTTTTCTTCTTCGAATTTCAGGGGGTAAAACCCAATATTCGACTTTAACCCGGTTTGCTATAATTTCACTTGATGCATGTGAATGAAAAGAACATGAGAAGCAATGATGACGAACATTGCCCCCCCCCCCCCCCGGTCGACGCACCTCCACAGCCGCGGCCGCTCCCCCCCCCCCCCCCCAGCGGCCCTCATACCCCCTTCACCCTGGAGAGGCGGGACCCTATGACCCCCTTCACCCTGGAGAAGCCATGTTCCCCCTTTGCACAGGTATGGGTACAAATCTCCCAATAAGGGAATGGATGTTGATAAATTTGCACCAGGTCAAGCGCTTACCTGATCAAACGGCTATTTTTATACCTCCTGCCAGATCGAGCGATGACTCATTGGGCGACGACCTGATCAGGAACCTCTGCCCGATCTGGCGTATACGGAGCGCCCCTGGTTTACCAGGTACTGTAAAATGGCGCGGATTTTGATCTTGATGAATCCCGCATGTCTCTTTAGACTGATAAAAGAATGTAACATCGCTTTTTCTAGAAAATCTTTCAGATGTTTAAGCCTGGACAGAAAATTGTCACGTATGCTTGAGATTCTCAACATTTCTCAATACAGTTCAATTTTCTCATTTCTCACTTTTGGTATAGATCTCGTTTGAAAAGGCCACGGTCAGCTAGTATCCTTCCCTTGTTAGATTAGCACCCTATCCCCATTACCCAGTGACGTATGTTAGAGCAGTGGCGGAAGTGGAAAGAAAGTTTTTGCGAAGCTTAAATTAGCCCAATTCTTTTTCAGATCGCCAGCAAGTCAAGTAGCGATGGCGAGGATCCACTGGCCCACGGTCTCGACCCCTCACTGTACGGACCAAATGCTCCAGTCGTCTGTGCATCCCCGTGCACCAGCGACCATGGAGCAGTTCCTTCATCTTCCTCATTCAGGTGAGCTCCGACTGCTGTTACTCCATAATCAGATTCGTATATAATCATAATTGGAATCTGTGTCTCGCACAGCCTGTAATCATCGCTCTCCGCGTCTGCTAAGCGTATTCTTGGGATCAAATTCTCTCAGCGCTTAGTCCAACGCTAACCCCGCGAGAGCAGCATGTTTCTGACGCTGCATAATTGGCTATCGAAGCTTTGTTTGCCATAGTACGAGTAGTGTGTCGGAACATGCTCGATGATGGTCTCTGAACAAGCATAGACATAAATTATTTCAAAGTTGTTTTGTCGAGAGTCGAGTCTGCGAATGTGGGAGGGGTTTCGAACTTTTGAGTGCCTTTCACGGCAAGTAAATAGGGTGCCGCCATAGAAAGAAGTTCATCAGCATGAATAGGTCCTCTTATAAGGAAGGGCATAGGAATGGATTTGAAAGGGATTTAGGAAGTTGAGTTGTTAGATTTTTTGAAAATGTACCAGGAAAGTACAATTTACTAGTAGCTAATTTTTGCAGAACAAAAGAATTGTAACATATGTTCAGAGAATGTTTCAGAGATGGAATTGATAATAGAGGGACAAAAAATGATTGTTTTGGGAACCCCTTGCTTGAAAAATCATTTCGAAAAGCTTTCAAATATGCTATCAATTACTTCAAATAAGAAATGTGAAAAGATCACCTATGAAATTTAATAGCTCATCCGAAGTGATTAATAGCATATTTGAAAACCTTTTTCAATATATTTTCAAGCAAGGGGTTCCTTTTCATGCCTAATCTTTTTGCGATAATTTATGGCCACAGGGCTTCCCAAGTCTTGAATGGGTAAACTTCTGAGCGCTGCGCAGAGTTTTTTGCAGAAAATTGTCCTATTTCATCACACAAAAATCGATGTATAGATGCTGATTTTTGTCACAATATTCAAGGCTTGTGGGTGGAATGAATGGTTTATGGGGCGTCATCCTATTACAGCTGTGTTTGCGATTTCGAAATTTGCTGCTCAATAGTGTCAGACTATCGATACAAAATGTTGTCAAATTGCAGCGGTTCTGAACCGAGGCCAACCGGACTTGGATTGTTACATTGTACACTGCAACATTTTCCTGTACGAAAACGTCTTCGAGTCTCAATTCTGAAGATTGAAGGTAATTTTTATCTATATTATATTTTTTGTGATTTCACAGAATCAACCACGTATTTTTGTGTTTGCTGTAGTGTAGGTAAACTTTGCACAATTTGGCAGAATTAGGCAAATTCTGCCCTATTTTTACCTTTTTTTGCGTTTTGAAGTGTGGGTATTTGCTGACTGACTTGCTTCATGTACGATATAATTTTTACCCTCTAGGTAACTTACATAGACCACGTCATGTTTGGAGTTGACTAATTTGTGCAATCTATAACGGTTTCGTGTATAATACAAATGTTTGCGTTTTGTATATGATAACGAAGTTTGACGTCAATTACATATGAGATATTGCATACAAATGGAATTGATGAAAGAAAACAAGTACAATTTTTGTTTGATATTGCTTATTCTGATTTTGTTATGCCGAAAAAAGCTACTTTGATTACGTGAATCTATCGTAGGCATAAGATTACCTCGCTAGTTTGGGGTAAGATGGAAAATGGATATAAGATGGAAAATTTACATTTGTCGATTTGTTAGAAGATTAAACAGAAACACTTATATTTGTTACACTCATCAAATTTTATGAAAAGTTTCTAATGTTAAGCATTGTTTTTGCTTGATTCTTTTCTCTTAGTCAATAGACTTTTCTAGCTTTTTGGAAAATCGCTATCTATTTAGGCGACAGTTTGATTGGGGTTGTCATAGGACTAAAATTTCTAGGTAACTTCTCAAACCCAAAAGTTCTTGGCAGTTGAGAGAAATAAAGAAGTTTTGTGCAGATTAACCATGTGGTGGACTTCTGAACTGCCCATAACCCATAATTTGTTTTGGTATAAGTTGAAGTCCAACTAGGCAATCCTTGTTTATTCTATCATATTTTCTGGCCTCGCACAAGCGACTTTTTGTTTTGAATGTATCTGCAAGGGAAAATTGCAAGTGCCTCTCTGCAAACCGATTAAGATTTTTCTGATTTTGTGGACTTGATGTTGCAGATGGCGTGGGAAGCCCTAAAGCAGGGTCTTCTAGTCCTTCTATTGTGTAGTAAAGGGAAAAATGACGAGAAACATATTTATTTCTTTTAATGTTTGTTTTTCGCCCAATGTATTATGATTTGTGGACTTCTTTGCGAAATTATTGAAATTGCATGCTGCTGTGGCATGCAATGTTTGATATCAGCACTAATTTGAGAAATTTTTGAAAACAATGGGAAGATATCACAGCAAAAAATGAGGAGAGTTACGGGAATCACTGATTTTATTTTGTTTTGTAGTCTCTGTGTTTTATGACGCAAACTTCTGTTTTGCTATCACAAAGCATTTACCCATAGATCTCATAGTAGTCTGAATTGTCAACAATTCTCCGTTTTCAAATGCATCGCACGATGTTCACCATGCTGCCAGCTTATCACGCGATTTTACGGAATCGGCAGATGCTAGTGTAAACAACACACTCGAAGAGTTTGTGCAAAGCGACGATGAGCTCTAGCGCATTTCGCAGTAACAGCTTCGAATGCATATCCGATGAGATGTGTCTGCAAAGTTTTCTTTTTGGTTTTGAAATGTTGGATATGTTAGGGAGAAGATGGGAAAGTCATGAGTCCGGTCTTTTTACGTCTGGAACGGATATGCATAGTACATCATAAGGAAACAATTAGTGTCAACTTTGAGGGCTGCAATTGTCATCTGGGGGGCAAGAAATGCAAAGAGAGCGATAATATTATCCAAGAATGAAGATTCTAGGGATATCTCAAAATCTCGATTACCGAACTTAGATGGTTTTCATTTTGTATCAGTAAGGTAAAAGTTGCGTTGAAGCGTTTTTCCTATGCTTGATGTTTATTTTCCTTGAAAGACCACAGGTTTATTCCCTGATCTTAACTTGATTTTCTAGAATTTGTTGAAATGGCTTGATAACTTTTGAAAACATAGATAATTTCAAAAACACATTTTTAGGTCATGACTTGAGTTTCCTAATCCATTTCCCATCCCCATTCTTTTTCTTTCATAGTTTCTGCATATGTTTTGGAACTAAACTCGGTTTCCCACGTACCTTTCCATATTGAGCGAGGATAAGGAGCAATCCTCTCAAAAATGCATAAGTTCCCAGAAGCAAAGCAGCTTTTCTCAGACAATATCTGATTGCTCATTCAAGTTGCAAAATTGTTGATCAAATATCTATGATGTCAGAAATGTAAAACCTTTTGCAAAAACATTTTTTCTTGATTAATATTCTTGATAGCAAACATGCTTGTGATTTATTCATCTCTTTGCATGTAAATCTGAGTGGTAAATTCTGGATTGAAAATGACGCGCAAATTTTTTTTCAATCCGTCTGGGTTTAATGTATTCTTCAAAATTCGCAATAAGTCTCTATATGACGAGCGAAGGCGTGATTCTGCATGAAATTGTTCAATCTAGATTTTTTTCTGTAACATTTTTGCCAGTAATATCAGGCATATTGCATAGCCTTGGGCTGTAACCAGAGTTTAGTACACATCGTTGACGTGGGGATGGAATTTGTTTTTCTGAATTGCTTGGAGTGGGTGGTGTACTCCAGGGACCCGCTACACTTCACAAATTTGCTTATTTGCTCGTAGATTTACGGGCTACGTACGCGATTGCAGCATCTGCATGTGGACGAGGAAATGATTGACTTAGCATGCAGCCAAAATTCATACAATTTGACGAAGTTTGGGTACGTGCTATGCCCACGGATAATTATGCGTCCCCATAAATAGGTATATGTTGTGCAGTAACACCGCTTCATAGCGCTAGCGATAGTGTTCCACTTTCCCAAAATAGGTCGTAAACACTCAGATTACGCTTAGTTTGAGTTATTCCACGGGTGGCATCGATGATGAGTAGCCGAGAGGCTAGAAATAGCTACAATTTATTATGCATATTAAGGATTCTATGTGAGCGTTTGTTAGGATTAACGAGAGTAAAAAATGCTTTCTGGGATTGAGAACAAATATTCATTTTTGCGTAGTAAAATTATTGAGAGCCCCTTTTTGAAGCTGAAAAAGTCCTAAGTGCTTGTAAAAATCCCTTATTTCTGGAGCTAGGCATGTACTGCGAAATCCTCATTTGCAATGTTCTGAAAAGGGATGTTCAGGTAAATCGATTACGGTAAAGCCTAGCGTCGCGACCGATGATCCGCCAAAAATCGGCCACCAAAACTGCATTATGCATCTTTGCATGAATCGTCATAGAAATGCCGTCAAGGAAGTAGTCATGAATAATTCAGACATTTACGCATCGAGCTAACCACGCAAAAAAAATCGCGAATAGTAAATTGATTTACCGCACAATGTCTGAAGTCTGTAATCTTACGTTTTAGCGTTGGCCGGCCAACTAAAACCGGAATTGGAGATGATGGCAATATGCAAAGTATCCATACATGGATTGAAGACTGGAAAGGAACAAGCATCAGAAGTCAAACGTGGTCGAGATCCGATTTTTAATCAGGTAAGCAGAAATATTTGTTTCGGTGGCGCAGGCAATGCCGTAAATGCACCGATTACATCTTAGCTGTCTGCATGTCTCGTAGTCACACTATATCTTGAGCATCGGCTCGAAGCCGCCTTGCAGCCGCGTCGCCTGCGTTTGTAATTCACGACTGCAAAATCCGATAGAATTTGAAAATTCCTTCAAAAGCAAATGACATCATTGACCCAAGTGTCACATGTCCCCCTTTTGAGTGCGTCTTTCAACTCTGAACTTTCAACATTCTCGGAATGAAGCCAATATTCCCACGAGGCCCTTTTAGGGTACCCTATGACGACATTTATAGATTCTTCGTGCTCATATCAAAGGGAAAATACCTTTGGAGGTAGCGAAGGGCTGCTTATAAATTTGGTATCTGAATAATTGCAAATTAGCGTTCATACATTTTCGCGTGACATAGTGATAATTGTTTGTTTGAAGTGCTGCTAGTACACCGGGAATGTTTGCTCGAGCGCAGACATTACGTATTTTTGAGAGCATTTTTTATTGATAATTCTGCTACATCTGCAAATGCAGAATAGCAAATTTTTTTGTAAACAAACTTTACACTGTGGAACGGAGAAACTCGAAGGGCAAGACAAACTTTGAAGTTAGTCAACTGTGTTTGGCAAACTTTCTTAAGAGTGGGAAATGTTTGACGTATTTTTTCTGCGCTGACTGTCACTTGACTCGGTTTACTTTTTATTTAGGGCACTCATCTACGGTTCACCCTATTGTCTCTTTTTCATTGGCCCTTTTTTTTCGTTGCGCTTCGTTCACGTTATTGACTATTACAATTAGCTTGAAAAAATTCCTCTCATAACACATTCTGTCGTTTTCTCTTGATTTCATAGAGGAATCCAGCAAATTATTTACGCCCGTAAATTCTTTGAATTATGAAGAATCCGTTGCTAAGGAGATGCTAGCCGCTACGGGTACGCTCAGCGCTGATCACGACTGTTCCTTTAGGGATGTGCTAGATGTGTTAGTTGTCCGGAGTTAACGACTTTGTGAAATACGATTAATGGCTCTCATTAGGCTCTCCCGAGCTGCTTGTTTTTCATGGCAGCTAGCAGCAATTTACATATGAAAGCGTGAAAATTGCACTGTGTTACGTGCATTTGTGCAATTGCGGATTATCTGCTATTAGTTCTAAATGCTGCTGATGACTGCGAAGGCAACCGAATTTGGTAAAATCTGATTACCTAAGGGAATCGCGCAAAAAGGTCATTTTTTATAGGATGCTGGACTGGGTATGAACTTGGCATCCGGTGAAAACTAATTCTATTTTGGTGTTGATGCAGTTTGTTCAATATTTTACTTTTTATGCTGTTCTCAGGAGCTGGTGGGAGCTGGTAAAAGCTGTGAGGAGTCTCAGATTATTTTAGAACACACTCTGAATTCGATAGAAAAGAGAGTCAAAGCAGATTTTTTTTATGAAAGGGAAAACCAAGAAATGAAAAAGGAAAAACGAGAACGAATTACTGCGCATTCTTTTCTAGCGTCATAACTTCTGCAAGTTTTTCAAACCTCATCTATTCAGTGGACTTTTCGTATATCCTCATTTTTTTGCAAATTTTGTATTACTCACGTTTCCATGATTCATGGACTAGCTTCAATTAATAGAAACTTTGCAAGCAAAATGTCAAACTTATTAGCTCTTGATTCAACTTAGCTTCATTCCTGGGTACTACCTCGTACTATCTCTCCAATTAGATCGATCTATCTTTGGTTAGAAATCATAGGCTATCCGGTAGACGTAGTAAATTTGAGTACATAATAATTAATTTGATATCTAGCATAACGCGGAAGCAGCCTTTGTGCCATAGTAAGCAACTTTGGGAATCAAATATGTTATTATTGACTTTCCTAAGTATCCTCTTATGGTTAGTAACCATAAGAGGATACTTAGGAACCATAACTATCAGCCAACAACACCTTAGCCCGATACAACTGTTACGTGCGTTTAATAACCCAAAGCGATTGGCAAAAGCCAAAATGCATGCTTTAGTTTTTCTCTCAGCATGAAGCAAAAGATTTCGGAAATGATTTCTATCTAAATTGCAATTAGGCGCTGCCATGGTGAGTTAACTGGGAAAACCTAGCTCAGAAATGCTAAGATCACGGGATTCGAGGGTTATTTTCGTGATTTTTTCGCAAACTAAGACGTAGGCAGGGAGGAGATAGCTAATTTATTTTCTCAACATAACGCGAGTTTCCTTTTCTGCTTATAGCTAGCTATGTAACATTAAGTTGTTCCCAAAACGAGTTATTCCTCTGCGTTTATGTTCAGATTTGTTTCTCTGACGCTATATTTATTCTTTAGTATTCCGCAAGGACATCCCGCTTCCGTGAAAATCCTAGGATTAGCGTTTTGAGCTACCCTAAGAACAGCAATATGTTATCTGATCGTTTAAGCCATGCCTGAGAGGGCAAAGGGATGAAGAGTTTACGGTAGTTTGGAAGTGAATGCTTGTTGTGCAATCACGACCACGTGCACGGTTGCAAGAAAAGGGTCGAGCTGAAATGCATTTTTGAAGACATTTGGACCCCTTTCAACCAGTTCAGTAATCTTTGTACATCGAACAGCGATTTGATCCCTATAATTCCTTCTTTGTTCTGCAACCCATTAATTGCATTCGAGGAAATTATTGCACTTTTTATTGAATGGGATGCTACTTAATGGATTAGCTGGAAGAGTAATCGGCTGTTGTGTCTCGTCGACAAACACTCCACTAGGTAATAGGCTAAGGGTAAAATATTTGACCTTTGGGGAAAGCGTGGTTACCCGTTGGGTTTGTTAACGGCGCAGAAGTTAAGGACTTCGTAGTATCGTATGGCTAAGGTGGACATACACGGAACCATTTTTTACTTTATAGTCACCAGGGACTAATCTGCTTTATCCCATCATCCCATTCCCCAGCGCACTTTTCCCCGAGTTGAGGTCAAGTGCTCATCACTAGCCCCTACACATAAATTTTGCGAAATAGTGCAAACTCGTGATGTGTTTGTTGCATTGCTTACATAGACCCCTTACCCAAATAGTCCAGCATCGTTCATCACTGAAAATGGGCAGAGTCAATGGCTAAAGTCGCCCCCGTTTTGTATTTTCACCTAAATCATAGAGCAATAACTCAAACAGCAGAGTTGAAACAGGCCATGACACAGTGGAAAATTCTCCAGAGAACTTGATGAGTAGCGGCATGACGCAAGACAAGCGAAATTGATGGCAAGCGCTGCTCATAAATTTCTACTAAAACTGGAAACAGTGGTTTTCTGTAAAATACACAGCTGACAGTAAAAATTGATAAATCTGTAATGGTAGGCTGTTTGGCAATTTTGATCCTGATAATTGCGTGTGGATTGGGAATAATGAAAAAATGGTCAAAGTGTGTCAACTTGTTCTGGTAGTTGATACAGTACCCCTACCGTAACCCTGAAAGGTAATTTACGACACATAACATTTTTTTGCGAACTTTTGTGCATGAACTTCTTCGCAGTATTGTACACCTTGTATGATGTTGGAGGATTGCCATATTGATCCAGGGTCAATCTGGATTGGGGCCAAGTCGGATCTGGAGTCGATCCGGATCCAACTCAGAATCGATCCAGATTGGGCCGATGGCGGGCAACTATGGCACCTTCTACATAATTCATAGAATAACAGTAAATTGGTGGCACATTTGGTTCCTTCATTAATAGACTGTCTAGAATGGACTTCGTTTATATATCTGGCTGAATATATGTCGGGCATTCAGTGAGAAGCAATTAGTGCCTTTTGATGCTAGACGTATTAGCGTTTATGCACAAATCATTATGATAAACAGTCATAAGATGGCAAACAGCCAGAATAAATTGATGCCATAAAATGAGAGAAAAATCGACGATTCTTTTTATTGGCTCAGTTTTTATCAGTTTATGACTGCCATATGATGAACTGATTATTGTTCATGGCTATTACCAAAGTTTGCAGAGACTGCTCATTACATATGGCTTTTTTTGTGTCGCTGCTCGTTCTCGCATTGTTCTTTGCAAACGTTTAGCGCTAATTTTTCTTGGCAATTAGTCTGAAATTGTTGGATGGAGGGTGTAGAAGGTGCAAAGCAGAGCACATTCTTCTCTCGCTTGTTCCGTCTTTTGCACAAGGGGCATGAAGCGCTCATCGGCTAGCTCTTCAGCCGTAATGGCCACGAAAAGCTAGCCGGGGGTTCAATGAAGTCGTGAATTGAATTGCAGCCGAGTGGCCGCAGATTGAGCAAAGCGAGGAGTGCAGAGAACAAATGCATGGCGATGACATTCAAAGCATCGTCTTCGTCAGATTTGTTAAAGCACTTCCTCGTTGTCTGAAGTCTAATCCATGGCACATCATTAGGGATTTGCAAAAACTGTTCGAGTCACGTAGAAAATCGAAACTCGCACGAAATTCGGAAAGGGAGAGTGGAAAAATAAAAAATTTCATCTATCCTTTTTTAGGAGTTCTTCTTCGACAATGTCACCATCGAAGATCTTGACACAAAAAACGTTACGGTAGCAGCATTCCACCATGGTGGTGCAAAACTGGGCAAAGACTTGATGATTGGTGAAGCGACGATACCATTGCGAGAAATTAGGGAATTGAATACGAAAAAGGAAATAAAAATTATCGAGGAAATCAAGCAACAAATACCTAAGGTATGTTTTTCGACAAGTGATGTTTCGTTTTTGTTTACCTTTTCGTTTGGTGTTCATCTTGGTATGACGAGGTAGATGCAATTCTACACCTCTGCGCTTCTTCCTCTAATGTGACGTTTAGCGGTTGAGGCTTCCGTGTCAGACAGTTTATTGTTATAACGGAAAATTAAGCCAATAATTTTTTTTGCGATGAGAAGAAATCATTTCCCTGTTCGGAATTTATCGACCTCCTAAGAAGGAGCGATTGAGCGGACGCTAATTTACCATATTAACAAGTTCCGATCGGGCGATGACGTCTAATCCATAATTTATCCAAGCTTCATGCTTATTCCCTGATCGGGTAGCAGCGCCTGATCTGTGTGGTCGGGCGCTGCTGCCTTATCAAGGGCAACTGCCATCGCCTGATGGGGCGTTCGTTCTTGATAAAACAGCTCCCGATTACCGCCCTATCCGGGAAGTTAATACTCACCGCTGCCGTTCATGCACTAATTCTAAAAGTTCTCATTTTTTTTACAGAGTACAGCACTTTATGGCGCATTTTTGGTGCAGAATGTGCAACCGCGTCATATGTATGCTTGCGTGCTTGAATAATTGGCATTGTGCCAAAAGCAATGTCCCGCTGTGACCAACTAAAAATACTAATTCGCAATGCATAGATGAGTATTTATATGCGGCTCTCGAGAGCGGCACATGCACACACATGACAAAAACATGTTCGATCGTGTCGGAAATCCAGATGACTTTTGTTGAATGCGATAGATGGGGGGAGGAGGACTTTTTAATTGTAATTGCACAAAAGCTTGAAGAGGGAGGGAGGGGGGTACTTTTTAAGCCAAATCTTTTTGTCATAAAGTTTGAGAATCGATAGTATTGGACTTGACATTGAGTTTATGGATTTTTTACTGGGGTATCGAGATTTTTTGCATTTGAGAAAATTTTATTCTGTGTGTCTCTCTTTTTCATTTTCCTTTGCCTACTTTTGAGTTTCCAATGTTATTTGTTGAATCCTCCGAATGTCAGAACTCTGTGTGGACGAGCTTTTTTGGCATTTTGTCATTTTTCACCCTCCCACCTCCTTTTCTTCGTTCTGGTCATGCACCAAAATTGTTTCACGCATCTCCTTAAGGTTCCATAAAAAGAAGCATAGAATTGCGTAAGGACTACAAGTTATGCACTTTCAAGACTTACTTCAAGTTTCCACTGAAGAAACCTTGAAAGAATTGGGAAAAATGAGGTTATTTTGTTGCGGCCAGTTTTCGCAACTTGTCAATATTTTTTCCAGTACAAATACATCATTTTTTGCGGCTATAAATGCAACTCGGTCTTGTCAAGACATATCAACGTCGAAGCGGCAAAGACCGCATTTTTGACGGTTAGAGTTTGCTCTCTCACAATGCCGACTCATTTTTGAGGATCCCGGGGGATTAGTTGCTGTTTGGTGAATATAAGGAAGTGATGAAGTAGGCTCAAGAATGAGGCATGAGGAATTTGAAACATTTTAAAAAGAGAAAAGTTGCCAAAAAAAACTGTGTACTGTAGGCTTCTTCTTGCATAATAATTTTTTTCAATAGTTTCCCTCGACATTTGCTTCAAATGCGATTACAATAAATTTCATCGTAGCCATTTACGTTAATTCAATCCATGTGCTCATAATTCCATGGGTAACTGAACCACGCTTGACGAATTGAAGCAATTAGCCATTTTTCAGGGCATTTCCTTCTTTTGATATAAACCTATAATAAAGAGATGATTACCCTTTCTCTCTCTTCTATTTTTGTCTCACTGACCAAACTTAGATATCTTCTTTGTTATCTCTGCTTCTGTTCGAGTGCAATTGCACTAAACTACTTTCGGTGCAAGGGAATTCTTTGGTTGATTAAGCATCTTCACGCTATTGTGCTAAGCTGTGTTTAGCACAATAGAAAAGTACATGCTTGCGTAGCTTTTTTCATTGAAGTTGATTATCGTTCAATATGAAGTGCAAGTAACACTGGTGTTGAATAGCTAATCGATATATTGATTGATTTCAGAAACTTGGCAAGATTTACATCTCGTCATGCATAGAGAAAGATGCAAAACGGTTGACAATCAATCTGAAGAAAGCTGATGACTTGCCACGATGGACGTTCTTAGGCGCACCAGGTACTGCATCTTTTCCATCTAAATTGTCCATGAGAGGCTTAAAATTCAAATGATAGTTTGAACGCGCGAATTCTAGCTTTTTATGCCTCGTTATTTAGATTGTATAGATGCCTGATTAGGTCAAAAATCACATAAGATTGGCAGCTCATCGTCAAGCATCGAATGCAGTAATTACTCCTGTGCGAAGACGGCGGAAGTCGTACAAGTGCCTATAATCCATGATCTTACTAAAGTAACACTTGAGATGAGGATGTTAGGGGAGAAGTGAGGGAAAGTATTTGGGCTCAAAAGCAAAGGATTACCTGTGTGAAGATAGAATAGAATTACCGGAAATCAAAAGTCAAGATCAAGAATTTTGTGGGAAATAACTAAACAATCAAAAGTGCTGTAAGGCACTAAATTTCTATTTCTTTTCCACGCTTGGAAACTTCCTCATTTTGTCATTTTCTCGAATGTAGCCTATTTTGGGTGTCAACAATTCGGACCTTGGTTTCTTTTGATTGAGTTAGGTGGTTGGAAATCATCCTGCAAATTTCTTCGAAAAAATGTTTTATCTAGCACAGAAATTCAAGCGCTTGTTTGCTTTTCTTTTGTGGTCTTTTTATACCTCTGCATTCACAAATTAGCTAACTTCGCTCGTTTTCTCTCTCAGTCTTTGACTTCCTTATCGCTTTTGTCGTTTACCACGTAGTAAACATGCTGAACTGCATTCACATTGATGAGCCTGCTTCGTGAAACTCGTCCGAAATCAGGTTAGGAGAGATCACGAGATCACAAAACGACATCGGAACATTTGCAGCTCTGGCTTTTGCAACAATAGCAAGACTTTTGGAAATGCATGAGGACAGCAAGGGACGTTTCCAAAAAAAGTTAATTGCACCTTGCAATTATTGAAATGGACAAATCGCTCTGCATTTTTGTTTTGAGGTCTCTGCAAATGCGTGATGTTTGTTGATAAAAAAAACCTTAAGCAGCTGTAGAACTAATTATGCATCCCTGCTCGAGCTTCTATTTTGAGGCATCTTTAAGCTTCAGCTAAAAAGCAAGAAAAACAAATCGTAGCATCAGACATCACTGTAGATTTTGGAAGCCCTCATTCAAACATGACGTAGTAAAATTCATTTATTTTTATGTCTGGGGTTTCGCTTATTCTTTAGCAATGCCTGTACTCGAAAAAATAGAGAAAAGTTGTTTGTTGAAAGGAAAAATATCGGATGTGTTGTACGTACGATCATTTACAACATTACACGCCATTTCACACCACTCGCGCACCTACTGCAGCATCACCATCCACACCAATCCACACCATTTCACACTACGCCACGTGCAGCACTACGACCCCTCACCAATCCACACCATTTTACACCATTTCACACCACGCCACAACTGGAGCACTACCATCCACATCAATCCACACCATTCCACACGAGTCTCATCACCATCCTCACTACTCCATATTTACCATGAATAACAGTATCGCTGCAACACTACCGTTCGCACAAATCTACATTCTGATTTTTATGTCCTAAAATTTTTCACTCGAAAAAAATCAGACATGAACTTTTCAAATTGATTCAATTTGAGAATCTGAGGTTGCTCGAGCTGTTATTTTTGGGTGTTCCTGCAACTTTTCAACGTTTTTGGTTTGCTCGAAAAACTCAATAAGCCTCTTTCATATTTGTGCTTGCGCTGAGATTTATTTCACCATAGGCCTGAAATTTCATACAGTTGATTTTTTGTTTTTTGATGCCATAATGGCACTAGAGCGTAAGCTCTGAATTTTTGATCCGTCAGGGTTTGGTCTACGGTAATTTGAGAATATTTTACGTCACAGAGCGTAGCGCATCCTCGCACGTTTTCAGTTTCATTCATTGCCTTATGTGGCCATTAAAACCCGCAGGCAGTCAGATACTCAGCGCCGATTCCGGTCGCGTAATCCGAGAGTCGAGCTCTGCGCTCAAAAGCACTTCGACACAATGATATATGGGGCTAGGAATCGTTGCTGCTCTCCGGAGGCTGACACACAGCCACGATTGATAAGTCCAATTGTGCGTGCGAGGGGAGCTAAGCTCCGCTGCTCCGCTTCCCTAATAGATGAAGGGGACCGAACAGTAAACAATCCTACGAAGTGTAAACAGTAAACAAAACGCGACGAAGCGTTGTTCAATTACTTTTTCTAGCGTTACACGAAGCCACTCTAATTATGGAGTGATTAATGGGGTTTTATACGAGACATCTGATCGTAAAGCTTTTGCTAACGAGGGAGAGCCGGAAATAGCTTGTATGTGAGCCTAAGCTTCAACTTTTGCAAGTTGTTTTTGTAATAGCCGAAACTTTCGCTTGCAGTGCAAGACCGCTCATAATTCGTCAAATAAACACCAACTATATCGGAGCTCACCGAAATCCGCGTCGCATCGACATATCTTGGTTTAGAATGGACGACTTTTAAATCCAAGGCATCGTTCAAATGAGCTCGACGAGATGCATCTTCTAATGTATCGATTTGCTTGATTACGGCAGGCGGTCACATTTCATAAATTCTTTCCCGGTAGGTCACTCAGTGTGCAATGAATAAGCATACTGAGTAACCTACCGTAAATAAGAATCTAAAAGAAATCTGTGAAATCTGACTGCCTACGTGAACCTATCGTATACAAACGGGCACATCTATGCATCAAAGAATGCGCCTCGTCGAGCTGAGTGGAACTGTGCTTTAAAGTCAAAAGTTGACTCTGAACCTAGATAAGACAATGCAACGCGGATTCCGCTGAAATCTGGTGGAGTTCGAGATTTTTGACGAATGAGCGATACATGTTCTTCCAACTTCGGCAACAGCTTCATCAGTACAGAGACCCCATAGCGCAAATGCCTTTGACGTTAGCTTTTAGTAATGTTTTCTTGTGATGTTGCTCTGAGAGCAATTATCGAATACAAATTGCTGGACGGAAAAGGTAAATTATCGCTAGTAATTATGCAGCTCAGTCAGGAAGTGAATTGGCTTTAGAGCATGCATTGTTGATGAGAGGGTGGTTAACAACTGAGAAGTCCTTATGTTTTTAGTTACAGAGGAGAAGAGCAGGAATTTGTACAAAAACGCTTATTGGCGCGACTGCTCATGGTATACTGTAATTAAATTATTTCAGATGTCTGCATAAAAATCACAATGGCTCAAGGCGATAAACAACAAACTAAATCGAGTCGAGTATTGAAAAATACGACAACAGCAGTCTACAACGAAGCCGTAATGTTTCTCTTCAATCCGGGACGAAAAGAATTGGAAACGACGAAGATTACGATATCTGTGCATGATATGCAAAGGTTGGTACCGTATTATCTTATCGAAGAGTGATAGGTGTGGGGGGGGGGACAAGGTGCTAATTATTATTAGGGGAAATTATCAAACCAATAAGTCTTATAACCACATTTGTATAGTGAGAGTTGATAAAATCGTCTAGTCAATCTGAAACTCTTTCCCAGTGCTACCAAATGAGATTCTCGTAATCTCCCACAATCACAGGTTTGATCTCTCGATGAAATTATAGCAAATAGCTTTAGTCTTCACCTCTAATCATTGAACATTGGAACAATGTTTATTCTTTATCTAATTATCTCGCGCAATCCACAAATACGATTTGTGGAGCAAGCACTCACTGCCCTCAGGCTATTAGTGCAAGCTGGGCAGGACTAATATAAAGTGACAAGTTTTGCAGCAGTAGCCTACGCCCACGCAATGGGAGGGGGGGGGGGGGAGGTGGGATGTTTAGAATTTGGCTTATTAATGAGACGTGTGACGTCGAGACGACATGCGATAGACGATCTCCGTCTAGCTAGAGCATAATGATTAGCTCATCGTGACATCATTGAGTTGGAGTTTGAGAGGGAGGAAGCAAAATGCATGGAAGAAAAGCGAGTGGGGAGCATTAGTTTAAATTGTTGGAAGTTTTCCAAGTCTAACGAACGTTTGAGTCGCTTGAGATTGTTGTTTCGGACAGCATCATTAGCAAAATGCTAGCAGATGACGTCATTGTATTTTTCCGCGATTTTTGGGCGATTACTCACTCATATGGACATTATGATTATATACAGTAGAAAATATGCTGACGATGAATGTTGAACCTAAAAACGGTGCATTTTAACATTCGCTATCAATGCTCAAGCATGACTCTACAAATTGCTTTCTCATGCTACTAAAACCGCCCAACATTTATTCTGCACTTGCACAAATGACTGATCAACTTTCTGATCTTAAGGTCAGTAGACACAGGAGTTTACACCTCAGAGAGGAACTTCAGTGCAGTTCTCCTGATTGTTTTCTCATAAAAATGAATTCAACAACTGAGCAATTTTTTCATTTCTAAAGGGTTTTAAAGAGAAAATGAATTGTTATGCTTCAAAATTCCCGCTCTTAATAGTCTTTCAGTTATTACAAAAATTCTTACATAACTCCTACATATTGAAATTACTTCGAATGCGTTTTAGCTTTTTCAAGAAATTTTGTGAGGTTATTAAATAAATGCGTGTCTTTTGTACCAGTGGGTATAAGAAAAATTTTATACCTGCTTCTGTCAAAGTGAAATCATATCTCTGTTGACATTTGCTTTGTTTGATTTGTACCTCCATTATGCGCTTATTCGGCGAAAGTTTTTCTCTACACTTCTGCAGATGCACAACCAACGCGTCAGGTCTAGACAATATGCAAATATTCAGAAGAAAAGTCAAAGAACACTTTTGTGACATGTCACATTGCCGAAAATGGATGACGAGCGCGTGCATATTAGATGAATGTGATTGACAGCTCTATTTTCTTCGAGAGCTAAGGCGTCTTATTCTGCACCCATTCTTGGAAAACAATTTTGGGAGAAGGAACTTTTTCTAGGTTTTTGAAATGTTTTTTGCGAAGGATTACGGTAGCGCAGCGACCGCGGTGTTTTTGAGGGGGCTATTTTTTGCGTGTGTGTTGTTTTTGTGCAGCTCGATTAGAGTAGTAATCATCTAAAACGAATGCATGAGACGTGAATCAGCGACATCGTGTCGAGTAATCGCGTTTCGGACGTAATACACATACACCATACGATAACACGATAAGTTGCGTGCGGCGATGATGAGCTCGTCGACGATGCCTGGTCCTCGAAAAAAACATTGAAATGTGATTACGTCAACGATGCTCACTGATTGTCTGATGGAATGTGTGTGTAAATTATTTCTTGTGACGTCTGTCATCTGAAGAAAACGCAGTCTGGTCAGATGGCAGATTGAATTCGTAGGAATTCTGCGCTCTTCTTAGGACCACGAGATTTCTTGCATTCAAGGCGCAGTAGAATATAGCTCCTGGTTGTTGGTTATAGAAAACGTCAGAAATTGATTGTGGTGCTATTATGCGTTGAGAAATAGGTTACTCCTTGTCGTTAAGTAAGAAAAATTGCATTAACCAAAGTACTACAACTGTCAAAGTAGATTAAGGAGGCTGCAAATAAAGTTACCATGCAATACCAGAAGTTACCTTTTTGCCTCAATATTTCGCTTTTAGTTTCTCCACTCTTACTGTAGCTAGGTAAGGTTGTAAGAACTGACAAGCGAAACATTAAGGTAACAAGCTAATTCTTGTCCGTTCAGCGATTTTGTAGCATTTTTGAGTGGATATATCTACGATTGAAACCCCCTATCTGTCCGTATACACTTTGTCTTTGAATTTCACAATTTCTCAATTTCATGCTTTTTATACGCTTTTCCCTTGCATAGCTAGGGAGTACGTTGATTAAAGCAGTAGAGCATACAATTTCGACTAAGTGATGCTCTACGTTTGGCTATTTACATTGCTGAACTTTTTAGCTATCGTATCCACTCACTAAAATGCAGTAGTTCGCACGCGTTTGCAGTAAAATAGTGTTTAATTACGAGAAAATTGGCCACAACGAAATCGCCGCGGGCACAAATTTCTAATCTTTGCTTGCTTGCATGAAGCAGTGCAAGTATCAAACATCATAGAACTTTGAGTTAAACTGAGTAATCGAGGGACTAAGTGGTGACTATTATGAGTGCAAGTGAACAAACGTGATCATTAATTTATTGATCTTCATGGATTTTCTTGCAGAACCTGCACTGGTGACGATGTGATTGGTTGCGCTTACTTGGGAGCATTAGCACATGATAAGTCTGAGATTGAACAATGGAAGAACACCACCGAACATCTAGGCAAGGAGTACAAGGTAAATTAATCGATAATTGATTTTCCCTACTGTGCATGATCAAAATGTTTTTTATTCTAGGGCACACACAACCTGAAGCCACCCCGCCAAGCTCCTCCTGTACATGTCGCTGAGACTGACGACAAAGATGGGGACGAAGATTAAGCTTCAGTTACCGTATACCGCTACTGCTACTGTAACGCTAGTATGCTAGAATACGGTAATACTTATTGAAAAACGCAGGTAGCGTGAACCTCCTCTTTATGTGCGTTTTCCACACTTCGAATTGTGAAACCTCATAAATCACTGTGGAACCTAAAAGTGGCTAGCATCGCATTGTGTCTTATCCCCTGCTAGTTGCTAGCATACGGGTCGTGATTATCGATTTTTCACACTCTATTCTGCACTAATCAATACGCGTTCATGCTATAAGTGAATTGATTATTATGCTTCATTTTTTCCAAGATTGTTTTAAATCTCATTTTACTCATGCAAATGTGATGCTTATTTGTTTATATTGGACGCATAACCTTCTTATGTATGTTATCACCGTCGATTTTTATACTGATAACCTATGAGTATTTGTATATTATTCGCGAGCTCTATCGTTCAGTGGCTTTCATAATCGGTTTCATATCTGGATTTCATACAATACCCGTGATCTTGTTCATGTTAATCAATAAATGTTAATTATGAAATCTTCTGCTTTGAAGATACCACATCTAAAGTTTTACCATGACTTCAAGTTGAATTTCCGGAGAATGAGGCAATAATCAATGACGCGTTCCGGATTACAAAAGCAAAAAAGCATCAACTCGCAACTAACTTTGAACCCAGTGGCTTCAATACCGAAGGTGTATGTTTTTTATTGTTTACAGTGTCGTTTTTTTTCGCACTGTCACACAAATAAACTGAAATCCAAAGGTTGATTATTACTTATCCAATAAAAACTGGTCCGTGTGCAGGTGAGTATACAACCGTATACCCACGGTACACATTTTACAATGGTACTGTTAGAGCTTGCATTTTTGTAGGATACCAGCTAACAAAGACTTGTAGAAAAATGAAAGCAAAAAAGCACCTTTCTTTACCTAAAACATTGTCAAGAAAACATCTGGCAAACTATGGAATTCTCGAGGCTACACGATGTATTGTTGATGACAACGATACGAGAGCAAGTGGAACTTGAAGTTCTCATGCGCTTTGAAAATTGTAATAATCACATCTGAAATGAGTAGCGAGTACCTGAATCAGCGACAACATCGAGTTTTGTTTGAAGCTTTAAATCGCGATCTTTTCGAATAATTGCCTTTACGTAAGCGGTGATATTCGAACACAATTTTGGTGCCGCTTTTCAAGCACCTTTTGAAGCCTGAAAGTGTTTCATTAATTTTGTTCAACGCTCTAGGACACCAAGCGCTCATTTCTTCGCACTCTTCCAGCACCACTGCTGCCAATTCGATCCACACCAATCCGCACCATGCCAATCTTAGTGCCAAAAATGTGTACTAGCAAAAAGATCAGCACTTATCCGCGCGAATCCACACGAATAACTTAGCGACAGGACTTCAGTCTGTTGCAGCACTACTATCAACACCAATCCACACCATTTTAAACAGCGGTGCCGCCATCCACAACACTCAAAAGCATCACGCAGAATTGCTAGCACTGCTGTTGCAACAGTTTCACACCAACACACACCACCTCACACCCACCGTAGGGCACCCACCCTATTGCGGTGTTAGCACAGGGCCCGGCACACCTAGAACCGGTCAAGTTGAATATCGTTTCTGGGGGAAAAAGCAAAGGGGATATCGTTTTGCATATTCCGCGAAAAGCCGCTAGCATGCCGCCGGTATGCCGCCTGCATGCCTGCGACATGCCGCCGGCAATGATGTGAAAGCGCGGTTTCCAAACAAAACGCAATGCTGTGGCACCAAAACTTGGTGTGAGCAGGCGCGCGAGGGGACTCGAACTATGGACTAAATATTTGTGGAAAATTATATATGAAACCCGTGCTGAACTTTTTTCCAAACTAAATGGAACCGTTCCAGCTGAGTTTCAGCAGTGCTGGAACCGACCCTTTGCTTATTTGCTTTTTCTTAACCCATTTTTCATACTTTTTTGCATGTACATAAGAGAAAAAAGCGTTTTATAACCGTTCCTTTAGGTTTTTTTTGTATCCCTCAAAATTTTTTATTGGAGGCGCAATCTATTCCGATCGTAAACGCCCTAAGTGGTCCAGTTTGGCTTGATATTACTTGCTTTTCCTATTTTTTTATTTTTTATTGTTCAATAAATTCTAAAAGATGGGGTTCTCACCATACCTTAATGGGGTGAGTGAGAGCGTAAGCAAAAAAAAAGACAAATGAGAAGTAATGGGGGCGGGGGTAAAGTTCAAATGAGCGTAAAAACTTCCATTTTGAAGAAAGCTTCGTTTTAGAATCTCTCTGGTTCCAGCTGTTGCCGAGCACTGTACCATTTATGCATGTTCCCACTATTCCACACCAACTATAACATTCGCAGTAGCGTCGTCGGCACGATCCATATCATTCCAAACCACTTCTGCCTCTTTGTAGCAGCAGTACCATTCACTTCGATTCACTCCACTCCACACCAGTATACGCCAATTTCAGCACTGCAATTGCATCACCACCATTCACACCTATTCATAGTACAGTAGCGTTCCAGCAATACCAACCGCACCAGTCCACACGACTTCACATTAACTTAACGCCACCACTGTAACACCACTTAGCAGTACCACCCTCCAAACAATGCACACCTTTCCATGTGCCATAAGACACCGGAACTGCGGCACCACCTTCAAAAACAATTCATACCACTCCACACACACCTTACAAGGGAAGGTATATGTTTCGCGGAGTTTCCCTATGAGATGTATATCATTCTGAAGGCCTTTGAATAATGATTTTGAAACAAACTTCCTTATCTGCCTATCGGGTTACTGAACAAAGTTACAGGTAATTTTCCGCTTCCAATTTGCAGGGTCAGGTACTGTGTAAATGATCTAAATTCGTAATAAATGCGAATTTGGTCCAAAGTTACACACCAAATGTCTAAAATATATTTATTGTACATAAAAAATTGATGGGAATAGTTTTGGAGCTACTCTGGCGCCTTAGTACTGCAAAAAGCAACCAAAATCAATGTCGTTTGAGGTTAAACAAACGCCTGCCGCTTTCTTCAGTAAGCTGATAAGCAGATAAGGAAGTTTGTTTTGAAATCATCACTCGAAGACCTTTCGAATGATATACCTCTCATAGGGAAACTCCACTGCGAGTCATATACCTTCCCTGTTTAGCATTAAAAGTGCAGTTCACCATCCAACTTCGGTTTGTAGAATGATAAAAAAGGTACTATTCCATGTCTACCCCAGAGCTACTGCAACCCGCTAACCAGAGCTTTCCAACCGTAGCATTACTTTGCAACACTACCACACAAACTTCGCGTACCCACCATTTCTATGTAGACGTACAGGGGCTTTCAGTCTGATTGTCACTGTCGACGTGGTTCAACTCCTTGCGATCCGCCGCGCGTGGGTCTCTCACGTGGTACAACACCGCATCCGCTAAGGCCTTCACGGCATCTGGTGCGGTGTTGAACCACGTGGAAGACCCAAGCGACGCGGCTCGCGAGGAATTGAACCACGTCGACCGTGACACTCAGACTGAAAGCCCCTGTAATACTGCAGTCCAACAGCATTCCATATCCCAGCATTACGTTGCAACACTAAAATCCACACCAATCCATCCCAGCATTGTTGCAGAACTACCATTTACACCAATCCACATCAGTCCACACTAATCCACAACTACACAGAATCCTTAAACTGCAATTGCAACACCACCATCAACACATTGCATAGTAGTACGGCACTATTGTTGCAGCACTCCGTCCATATTCCACATCAATCCCAGCCTTACCCTGTTGCAGCACCACAATCCACACCAGTCCACACCAATCCACACACCCCACAGCGATACCAGCAATACTATTGCAACACCCGCCATCCACACAATTCCATACCATATCACTGCTGCGGCACCACCAACCACACCGATCCACACCATCTCATACCATACCCAGTGGTCATTGCCATTTAGGCGCTACATTGAGATATTCGAGGTTTCTATCTGTATAGATAAAAACTGGATTTATTCTGGAGGTACAAATCATAAAACTGCAATACATTCGAAATTTGAGTACTCGAATAAATCGTTTAACCTTGTTGTTTGTGAATGTTCGAAAATTTTGATGTACTAGCTAGAGAAACCTGTTGATGATATAGTTGATTTAATTGCCGTGCATTACATGAATAAAAATATGTTGCTTAACGAGCGCCAAACACTTAAAATGAGTGCTTTCTCTCTTCAAAGATCATAAATGTGGGTATGAATCCGTACATTTTCTTATATGTCAATGAAGAGAAACAGAACAAGTTCGATATTTAGAAAAGAAGTAGGGAACTGAGTGCAAGCACGTACATTCACAAATGGGATTCCATGATCTGCATGAGCTAAATTTGTATTTGGAGAGCAGATTCTTTTCTACACTTAACATTTGGCTTGTAAGGAACATAACCAGTGGGCCACCATACAAAGAACGAGGAAGTGATCATGAGAAACGAAAAATTGTGATTCTTGGTGGGAAAACTGTGTTAAGCGAATGCAGCAAACCTTCTCAGTTGATAACTGTGATTTGGAGTTTTCAAACGACGCTTCTACATACTTGCCAATCTTTGCTACTCAAATCTCTTCTTGGAAGAAATTAGAATCTACTGAAATGATGGTGCAGAGACAGAGTGTTAGATTTCATTTTCTTTCAAAGTAATTTTGTACATACAGTAAACATAGCCTCACATGGTACGCTCTAATCGGATGAAAGGTAGCCATCGGCTAGCTCCTTGTTACTCAACACTATCTCCACATAAGCCAAACTGTTATAGGTTAGAGGTAGGTACAACACGACAGTCTATCATAACCAGCAAATCAATCGAACGAATTTCCACGATAATCTCTCAATTTTTTTTACGATTCAATGCATCTCAATCTTCCCCATCACCGTCGGAGTGCGTAAACTTGAAGTAGTGCAAAACTGTAATCAGTTTCATCTTGTGGAATCACATTTTAAAATTGTACGAGTCATGCGAAATATCGCTCACCAGAAATAAACATCATATGAATGATGGTGCGATCGTTAGCTTGAACAAAAGAATCCATACTGCCATTATACAGTGCTGGACATGATTGTACAGCCACTCTAGAAATCGTCGTAATTTTTGTTCTTGTCAATGAATCTGTCTGAAACTTTGCTGTATTGTGCGCATATCAACCTACCATAACCCCTCAAAACGGCTTCCAGTCTTGTTGAGTTTGAATGGAGAAAAACGAAAAAAATCGAAAAAGCCCTCTTTGAAAGCTGGACAAAATTATACAGCCACCTGGTTTTTCTAATCACTATCGCATTCGTTGACTCTCAAATTTTTTGTACAATTACATCCCAAAATATGAAACATTTGCGACACTTACGGCCTGTCTTCCTACTCAAGTAGAAGCGATCACTGCATTTTTTGCTTTCAAAAGCACCAAAAATCAGTTTGCTTCAACAAACAACTGGTTTGAAGAGTTTTCAAG